CCCAAACCTCCTTGTTCAAGAGTTCAATCCATTAAGATCCTTTTGTTTATATGTGTAAGATTAAATTGGAAAAAACTCTTGCTTGTTGGTTTAAGATTATACTCTCACACCTAACTTTTGGGTGCTAGAAATTGAATACAAATGAAATTATAATCCAAGAAGATTATAAAGCCCTTGTGAATAGGGGCACTCAAAGAACTCACAAGAATAAAGTTATAGAGAATTCGAAAATGGTTATTCTACTATAAATGTCCATTTTAAATCTAAATATGATTTTTTGTAATGGTTGGGGGAGGAGACTAGTAATAAGTCTTCTTTTTGGTCTTTAATGCCATCTCAAATATTACTCCAATGAGATTCCATATTTTTCAACTTTCCATAACGAATTTTAATTTGTCTTGAAAACTAGTTCAGCCAACCAAGCCCTTTATGGCCCATTAAGACTAAACAAATTGCTAAACTATTAAAATTACTTCTTCTAGAATTTTTTATAGGTTTAAGTACCATTTTGGTCCCTCAACTTTTTATTTTGGTACCAAAATTGTCCCTCAGCTTTAAAAAGTATCAAAATTATCCTTAAACTTTCATTTTTGGTACCAACTTGATCCTTCGTCAGTTAAATTGACAGCTGGCACGTTAAACGGACACATGGCACGTTAAATGAACATATGATAGGTTAACTGGGTAGCTGGCACGTTAAATGCCACAACATCATTGGACAACTTAATTTAAATGACGTGTAAATTTCAGGTAAAAAAATTTGATATTTTTTATTATTGTTTCACCATTTTTCAAATTAAAAAAAAAAAATTTTCATCTTTTTCCATTTTACTCTTGATCTCTCTCTTCTCCCTTCTTCCTTTCCAAATCAAACCCAGATCTGGGTTTTTTCCTCCTCTCCCATCCTGCACATCGCTGGAACCCAGATCTAAAACCCAAATCTCCATTGTGTTAACCCTGCAGCATCCTGTTCAATAAATGTAAACCAGAGAACCATGCATTAACAACTCAGATTCCGCTGAGGAGCCTTCCGCCTTCAATTTCAAAATTCAGCTGCATTAAGCACATTTCCAATAATTAAAAGGTTTTGAAACCAAATCTCCATTATTCGGTTTCCAATTTGGACACTACTGAGTTAAACGAATTTCAACTCTCCTGCACTTTCTCAAGATCCAAGCAACACGAAATTGACATAAGATCTCTAATAGAAGGAAAGATAATAAGAACAACAGACCTTCTTGAGCTTGTCGAGGATTCCAGCAACGGAATTGCGGAAGGAAACGGCATCATCACGGAGGTGGAGGACGTTACGGGTGGCACGAGGGACACGGAGAAGGGCGGAAGCGCTGTGCTCCTCGAGAGAGGTGACAATCTCTTTGAAGACCATCTGAAGATTCATTTCGAGATCCACCATGTGCTTGTGCAGCGAGTGCTGCGGGTGGCGGCTCTTACACACCGAGTTTATCCATTTCTTAGGATAGCTGGATTTGAGAAAAACCCAGATCTGGGTTTGATTGGGAGAGGAAGAAGAAGGAAAAAGAGAAAGAAGAAAGAAAAAGGATGAGTGGGGAAAGGAAGGAAGAAGTTTGATTTTCGAAGGATTGAGAGAGAGAGGAGAGGAGGAAGAAAAAAATCCAGCACTGGTGATGGTGAACCCAGATTCACTGTAAAGAAAAAAACCTAAAATGGTGAAATGGAACGAGAAGAGATGTCGAAGGATTGATGGCCCACGGACAAGAGAGAAAGACAGAGGGGAAGAGTGAAGAACAACAAGCCTAGGAACGAAAGAGAGAAAGAGGGGAAGGATGAAGAAGAACAGGAAAATAAGGAAGAAAAGGTTAATTGACTTTAATTAATTAATAATAATTAATTCTTATTTATTTATTACAATTAAAAGTGCCACATAGACAAAAAAAATGTGCCACCTCATCAATTTGTGTGTTTTTTCTCCACATCAGTATTTTTTTCAAAAGAAATATAATTCTTTGGCAACTTAACGTGCCATGTGTCCCTTTAACGTGCCAGTTGTTAATTTAACTAGCGAAAGGACCATTTTGGTACCGAAAATGAAAGTTTAAGGATAATTTTAGTACTTTTTAAAGTTGAGGGACAATTTTGGTACTAAAATGAAAAGTTGAGTGATCAAAATGGTACTTAAACCTTTTTTATATGAATCCATAATATTGATTCAAATAGCATTTGAAAAAACTAACTTCTAATATGTGGGATTGATTCGAATAAGCTTAAATTGATTATGACCCATAACTTTGGACAACGAGGATAAGAGCTTGTTAAGCTCTGATTCTAATCATGGACAAAGATGAGAACCCTTCAATTAGCTGGCCTATACACTTAAAACGAAATTCATCAAATACCAACAAGTCATGGTTTTAACTTACCATCAAGATTCATAAAGGAACCCAACTCATGTAATCAATTTGATAATGTTTTACCACATATCCTAAATAGTCCATCATAGATTGGGTAGGCTCTTTACCCATAGTTACAAATTCTTGTTGATATAAGATAGCATTATTAGCCTCAAGTTGATCATAGTAAGGTATTTTAATTGAATCTTGCAATTCTTTAGTAATGAATGTCTTGCCGAATGATTAACTATAATATATCCTTAGAAATCGTAGCTTGTATCCAAGGAAGAATTTGAAAGTCAATCTATTACTATTGCTCATAATGTGGATTTATTGGTAAAGGAAATGAATCTCTAATCCAAGTATCCATAAACAGGATGACTAAATATGAAAGGTGTAGATATAGTAGTCATTAAGGAGGAGGAAAGAAATGGTGTTAAAGTAGAAAAAAAGGAGAAGTTAAAGTATTAGAAACTATGGCAAGTGAAGTTTGAATGGAGATTGTAGATGAAAAGGAGAAGAGACAACGATAGAGAAGGAAGAAACCTTTAACTATATTCTATGAGGAGAAACAAATTGGTACCCTAATTGAGCATTGATACTATAATGAATGTAAACTATGGTATATTGATTTACAAAAATAACAAAATATATATACACAAAGCATTTTGGGCCAAAGTGTGTTAAGCCATATGTAACAAACTATAATACATAATTGAGTCCTTTGTTTAGGGTGCTTTCTTCATCCAATCATTCGTGTTGTGCAATTTAGTGTAGTGTGGATTGCACAACATTTATCTTATAAAATCATACTTCTATCAAAAGGATCTCCATCTCCAAGAAAAAGGGGGGAAGAATTGAGATTTAGGTATTTGTGGTTTAAAGTAAGTGTACATAAAGATTTAAGGTTTTAAAATGTAAACATAACATATTTGTAATTTTGGATATGTACATATAAAAACCCAAGATATCAAAATATGCACATGCACTTGGTGTGAATAACCACTTAAAATTTCTTTAAATTCCTTAAAAGGCCCTACTTTAAAAGAATGAAAAAAGAAGAAGGAAAAATAAAGATATTTATAACAATTTTATGTAACTTCAAACAGTTAGGTAGAGTTAATAAAAATTTCAAATAAATTATTTTTATGTGCATATATTTTAAATTACAAATATATTATATATCCATTTTAAAATTTTGAATCTTTTATTTACAGAGTCTACACAACAAGCAACTAAATGTAATGTAAAAAAAAAAAAAAAAGTTCAGGCCTTTACACTTTAACACTAAGAGTCTATTTGGTATGGCTTGTGAGAGCTTGTGATTTTTAAGTACTGTCATGAATGATGAGTTTAAATTTTTATTAGAAAAAAAATAAAGTTTTAACTTTTAAAAATGTGAAAAAGTAAATAAAAAATAAGTAAAAAGTAAATAAAAAAAGAATTTATAAAAAATTTGAATTTTAAACTTTTAAATTTTTACTGTTTAAGAGCTTTTTAAGGTTAAAAAAATATTTAAAAATATAAATTTTAAAAAAAAAATTTAAATTCATAAAAAATATTATAAAAAAACTGAAACTACTAGCAAATGATACAAACAGGCCTAACAGTTCATCCTCTATGCTTCCCCAGCCCCAATCCCAATCCCAACCCTGTCCTCTTCCCTTCTTCTGTCTTATTCTCTTCAAAGTTCTCCCTTTCCATCTTCTTCTTAAATAACCCATCTACCCACTAAACCCCCTCATTTCACTGAGTTCACTCCTACTCTAACCTAACAAAACCACTCTCCTTCTCCACTTCAATTTCAAAAACCTCTGCTCCTGATCCCAATTCCAGAAGGGTTCATCCCAGTTCTTCTGTTTCGTTTCATGAATTGAGGTCCTGACAATGGATCCTCCACTCATCAATGAGAACTCTTTTTCTGCAGCAAACCCATCATCCTACAGCCTTGCAGAGATTTGGCCCTTTTCAATCAATCCGGGTTCTGACCCAAATGTTGCTATTGGAGGTGGCTTGGGGCTCAAAATGGAAAATCTTGGCTGGTATGGGCATACTTCGGGTCCCCGAGATGGGTCCATGGAGGAATCAACAGTGACAGAGCAAAGCGGTGGATGTGGAGGTAGAAAGAGAAGGGATTTGAGCTCCGAGGATGAGTCTTCCAAGATTGTCTCCACTACCAGTAGTGCAAATGACTTGGTATATTTCCATTTTCCTTTTCATTTATGAAAATTTCGACCTTTTCTGGATTTTTCATTTTTTAGTTTGAATTTCTGTTTAGTTAGTGAAGATGGAAGGGGGAACGTGGGCCTTGTAGTATAGGTGGTAAGAATTCAATGCTGTAAATTCTACTGAATGTGTGGATTTGTGATCCTCTGTTATGTGTGAACTCAAGAAAATGACTAAAATTTGAAACGTCGAAATTTAGCGGTGTAGCTCAGTTTATTTGTGGGTATAAATTATTTTTAATTAGTGATGATGAAGTTAAGCACTTTTAGGACCCAAGACATTTTCCTTTTTGCTACATTAACTTATAAAATGTACTGCTGTTGGATAATCAGTATTTTTGTGATGTTTGATCTAGGAAAATTTCTCAGAATCCATTTAACATCACATCTATAATCTGGAATTAAGCTTGCTTTTTGTCATAACTGGATGTAAAGTTTGAGTTTTCTATAAAAAATGATGTGTAATACATAATGTCCTAGGTTCTATGCTGTAAGTGGTTTAGACACCTCTATACTTGTATTAATTATTAAGCTAGTTTTGAATTTGTAACAGAGTGAATCAAATGGAAAATGGATGAAGACTTCAGGTTCTAAGAATGGAAATGGCAGTTCTAAAGCTGAAGTTGAAGCAAGTTCTGCAGCTGGTAGCAAGTCAGAACAAAATACTAAACCTGAGCCACCTAAGCAAGACTATATTCATGTCCGAGCCAGAAGGGGTCAAGCTACTGATAGCCATAGTCTGGCAGAGAGAGTAATTAACTTCAATCCTGAACTCACAATTTTCTTTAAATATCCCTTCCCAAATAATAAGTCAAATATTTTACTTGCAAATGAACTATAGATCCAAATTGATGGTAAATTGTTATAATATTCTTTTTGTTACTCTTGTTGGTCGTGTATTGGACATGAATGGTAAACTGAATAATTTATTCACTTTTGAAACATTTTGCTCACTGTATATTTTCATGGGCAGGCTAGGAGAGAGAAGATTAGTGAAAAGATGAAGATTCTTCAAGATCTGGTCCCTGGATGTAATAAGGTATCAAATGTGGGCAGTTATATTACACTATTTTATTTTGGTAGTATATTTTGCTTTTGTTCATACTCTAGGATGGTGATAAAATATGATGAAATTCATTTTATCCTTATGGTTAGTATTCATTTGTTTCATACTTTGTTGATAAATGATGAATGAAAACTTTGTTATCAGATCATTGGAAAAGCACTTGTTCTTGATGAAATAATTAATTACATACAGGCACTGCAACGGCAGGTTGAGGTGTGCATCTCAAGTCTTGAATTGCCACCTCATGACATGTTTTCTTGGTATAGACTTTAGATCTTCATGACTGAATCTGATATGCAAATGCCATTTTGTAGTTCCTGTCAATGAAACTAGAAGTTGTTAATTCAAGGATGAGCATGGACCCTAGTATTGAAGGCTTTCATTCAAAAGATGTAAGTCTACTTATACTGAATACTGATTGATCAGTTGACTTTTCTGGTAATCAATTATGCTTGCACATAATGGGCACCCATACCTTTGGCCTGACTATTCCCATGGGTATCTCAAACAGGCCTGTCCATATATACCTGGCAAATGTCCAGCCATGGGTGGCAAGCGTGGCCCATTGGAATGGTTGGCACCCAAATAGCATGTCATATCACGTTAAGATGCAATTTGTTGAAATTTGCCTTGATTTTACTATACATATGATTGCTAGGAATAATTGACCTCAATAAAGTATTTCAATAGTGTCTACCAACCCTTCATAATGTTCTTGTCTTGATGGTTTCAACACAATTTGAGACTTGTGGACCAGTGGTTCATAGTTGCTGCTTTTATTTTCATGAATGCACAATGTTGATCGCAGTGATTACATATAGATTTGGTATGCTGACCATATTAAGCCAACCTTCTCTTATATATTTAAGGGCATTTCAGTCTCTGACTTATTAGGATAGACTAATTTTCTCTAATTTATTTTTCTAAACAGAAACTATGATTTTTTCCCAAGAAAAACAAAATCTTTCCAGATACAGAATTTATTTCCCTGAATTGTATGATTTTTTGTAACACAGAAGACAAATCTATTATAGCTGTTTTCTTAAACTCTGTTTTAACTAGTTGATCTGTGATTTCAGTTTGGTGGGCAGCCAACTAATGCTACTGGAATGATATATAGCTCTGAAGTTGCCAGAGAATATGCCCAAGGATCCCAAGGAGCGTTACCCGAATGGCTGCACATGCAGTTGGGTGGAAGTTGGAAGGACAGCATAATTTTAGCGGAACCTAATCATTGTTACGATCAAGCATCAAGAATGGTCTGTTTTCCATCTTTAGTCAAGAAGTAAAAATTTGTTATTGGTTACATCTGGTGAAGAAATGTGTTCCCATATGTGAATTGTTATTCATATTGTAATATTATTATATCATTTGTAGAAAATTGGTTTCTGATCTCTATATGTATCATTTGACCGAATAGAGGGTACTCCATTTCCATTGTATCAGTTCCTAAAAATTCTGAAATTCATTCAGTTTCAAGGGATTATTCCTTTTACAGCAGATTATCCAACGTCCTACTGTTCTATTCAAAATCAGAACCAAATGAACATTTTCTTTAGAAAAAAAAGTTAAGAACTGTTTGTAAAAAAAAAAAAATATATATATATATATATGTATGTAACCATTAGAGATGGGTGGCCAAATCACGTTCATGCCTGATTCATGATGCCAATTTTTTTTTTTAACATATGCATGATAATGCTGTTTTCAACTTCAGAAGACAACAAGAAAATCAGAAAATTTTCAAGGGATGTATATATCAACTGCATTCAGATTCAGGCTTCAAACTTTGAGCTTTGATGTGTTGCTGTTAGGTTCTCTTTGTATTTTAATGATGATTTTAAACCATGATTCAAAAGAGTTTAATCTATTTTTGTGTTAAGTATGCAGGAAAATTAATCCAAGATTTCTAATCTTTTCCCATGATTAGAATTAATTCATGTTCCTCCTTGTTCAGAGTTCTGGGTTCGAACCAATTTATTTTGGTTCGAATCAATCTCGGACTCTTGTTTTCCGAAAATGGTTTAAAGCAATATTTCTGGTTTTGAAGCAAAAATTCTTGAAGGGTAAATTTTGACAGCTCATCTATCCATTTATTCTTATTCTCAATGGGTCTTGGGGGAACCATTGTCTAAGCACTTTCCAAAGTGAAGTAAAAAATAATAAAGTGAAGTAGAATCTAATTGGAGCATTTGTGAGGTGGCTTTGAAGGACTAAATAGACTTTAATTGCAAGGCTCCAAAATCCCCTATTGTAATGATCGAAAATTCAGATCTGGAGAACACAGAGAATAAGGACGAACTGCTACAGAAACTGAGTTTGATTTTGTTTTGGGTTTCCTTCTTCTTTTCTTCTTGTGAGCTTTTGGGTATATTGTCTTACAAGGGTTTTGTATTCTTCTTGGATTGGGTTAATCCTTGAAGGGGTTGAGTGAGTTGAGATTCACTTGTGAGGGTTTAATCTTGCACCCGTAAGCAAAAAATTTCTAGTGGATTGAACTCTCGAGCAAGGAGACTTGGGGAGTAGACGTACTCCGGGTTGGAGGAACCACTATAAATTACGGCTTGATATTCTCTTCCCTCTCTTTTATTTTTCTGCACTTTATTTACAAGATTGCAGTTGATCTTTGTTTTCTTTTGCATAACAGATTATACATATATATTGAAAACTTCATTCACGTTTTTATAAAGGAAAAGAATGAGTTTTATATCTTAGGAATTAGCTTGGGGTAGCTAGCTGGGATTATAGTTGCCTTGCTAGCCCATCATGAAATAAAAAGGCTATTCAAATTCCGAAGTCACTGCATAGACAGGTGGTTCCAGCTTTTTAGGGGAGGGATTACATAGCGAATCCATGGATCTCATGAAAACAATACCAAAGATGAAAACTGAGGCGGGTAAATTTGCTGCCTACAAAGGATATGTGGATTGGATATGTGGATTGATATCAAAATCTGAAGATAATGGTAGCTATAATATGAAGACAATGTAGTTCTATCCAAAAAGCAGTGCAAGTCCTTCAGCTTCACTACTGATCGACAATATCAAGATATGCAGGATTCCAAAATCAAAATGCAATATGAATCTTCAGATTTTGAAGACTGATCTGATTGGTATGGCATAGCTTCATTGATAAGACTTCACTTTGTTTGGATTGGAGAAGTTAGAAGGGAAGGAGAGAAAGCAAGGGGAGAAAGAACACCTTTACTTGTTTGGATAAAAAATTTTAATGGAGAGGAGGGCGATGGAGGGAGATGGAATCCCCTCCTCTCCCCTCTGTTTTTAATCCCTCCAAATCGAAAGGATT